AGTAATAATAATAATAATAATAATAATAAAGATCACGTCTGCATGACATACACTCAATGGTGATTGTATACGCTTTACAATGAAGTAAAATAGAACAAAAGAACAGTTTACAATTACACACTGACAGCTTTCACATATTGTACCGGTCCATTTAATGTAAAAACAATTCTCCGTAACGTGACAAAAGAACACATTCACAAAAAGACAGCTGCTGATCACACAAATTAAAAGAAGAATCAAACTGCTAGTTTAAACAATATATGTGAGGCAGCGTGGTGGAATCAGGCTCTCGTCAAAATAATAAAATCGAAGAAAACAGCTGTTTTCTCCCTGCTTAGCAATTTTTATCAAATTTTTGTTTTTTGGCTCAAGACCTTTTATGTCCATTTACAAACACATTCCTTTGAGGATTTCACCGAAAGCGTTGATTAAAGGAACCAAAATATAAATTTACAGTTTCCATGGACTCTCCAGCTTTGGAATTTACCAAGCTTTGGCGGACATTTTCTCGCTAATTTTACCTCTTAAACCAGGTGACCCCCCCCCCCCCCCCCAACCTCCTTCAATCCAAAATATCTCCACTTCTATTGAAGATGGATGGGTAATTTTTTTCATTGAAAGCAAGACAAATGAACACGCTTTAAGATAATACCAATAACTCAATATGCCCAAAAATTGACGAGAGCCTGATTCCTCCACGCTGCCTCACATATTTTAGCCGAATGTGTAATTTAGACCATTCCGAAGGGCGGTCAACTTTGGCTTCTTTTTTTTTAATGAAGGACCATTGGGTGGGGGGGGAGAGAAAGAGAGAGAGAGAGAGAGAGAGAGAGAGAGAGAGAGAGAGAGAGAGAGAGAGAGAGAGATTCTACACGTAGGGAGCAGTTTAAATTTGTACAAAGTACAGTCTTAAGTTCTCTTTTGTAAATGGATCGTGACTGTCGAAATGGAGCATACATGTACTTTTATAACTGATTAGAAAGATATTGTTGTGCCAGATCGTTTAACCCTATCCGTACGTCCTGGGGTCATTTTGTACCTCCGGGTTGTATTCTTCCCATTTTAGAACATTTCTAGTTCGAAGATCTCTTTGAAACTTTCAGTATTTCTCAAAAAAATCATTTTGACAGACTGCTATGCAAAGCGTACAGACCGGATTAACGGCACAGAGTTTCCTACGTCGTATGGATACGATAGTAAAACACGACGTACGGATAGGGTTAAACCCATATAGCACATTACTGCAATGCTTTAATAAATACCGTCTACGGCTTTTAAGAGACTGTCAATGTAATGTAAAAGAAATGGTGTGTGGAATCAGGAGCTCTTCGTTTTTGGGACATGTGGAGTTATTTATATCTTTTGAACGCTACTCCATTTGTCTTGCTTTCTGTGAAAAAGCATCCATCTATCTAACATGAATAGAACTCGAGATATTTGCAGTTGAAGGAAGTGGGGGTCGTCTTGGGTCAGATGTAAAATTAGCGAGAAAATGCACACCAAAGTTTGGTGACTTTGAAAACTTGAGTGTTCTTGGAAACTGAAACTGCAAATGTACATTTTTTTATGCCTTTGATCAACATTTTTCAGAAAAACCCACACAGAATGTGTTTTTAAAAGTACATAAAAGGTGCCCCCCCCCCCCCAATAAAAAAAACGAACAAATTGCAGTTTCTTTGATTTAATTATTTTGACGAGGGTCTGATTTCAACTCCAGTGACTCACATTATAGTTCCATATTATGTTTATATATGTAATATTAATATATTGATGTATGCTAACCCCCCACCTCCACCCCCACCCCCACCCCCACCTCCAAATAGGCACCATGACCCTAGACTTCACCAAACCCCCGAGTGGTGTTGAGGCTAATGGCGGCCTGTACCGGGTGACCCCTGATGGTCAAGCCACGCGCATGGACGGAGGACGTAAGGTCAGCAACGGCATCGACTGGACTCTGGACAACCGGACCCTGTTCCACGCGGACACTGGTCACAACTGTGTCTTCGCCTACGACTTCGACCTGGAGAAAGGAGATATTGGTCAGTTATAGTGATGAAAGTGGACTTTGGAATTTAGACCAACGACTTTTGTTTAGCGGGATGATGTGGGGATGGGCGCTGTGTGGTGTGTGTAAATGTGAGTGTGTGTAAATGTTAATGTGTTTATGTGTATGTGTGTGTACCTCTGTGTGTGTGTGTGTGTGTACCTCTGTGTGTGTGT